GCCATCCTGGTGACCATTACTGTTCTCACACAGCGCACCAAGGGTGAGCAAGGCTAAAAGCAGCAGCTAGTGAAGATGATGCTCTGCCTTCTCCACACAATCACCTACTAACACCCAGCCCTGCAATTCAGCGGAGCCAGCAAGAATGGCATGAGCCCATGGCGCTCCCTGCACATATCCAGCCACGAGCAGAAGGCAAGGGCACATTTCCAGACAGGTCTCTGGGACTGTAAAATGTTCACACTGCCAACGGGCTGGGGAGTAGTAGCAGGGGCAGTGAGGCACATCTAACCTTTTCACTCACCAAATCAGAGTGGAAGCGCCTCTTGAAAACAGACACCAGAGATAAAGTCAAGGAGGATTACGGAAAGGACTCGGGAATATAGCCCTACATTTCTGTCTTGCAGGTCTTCTGACCTTGCAGCGTTAAAGAGGGGGTTTGTGGGTGTTTTGCTTCCCCGTTTCTTCTTCTGGAAGAAACGCAGGGACCACGTACCATGCCAGACCCGTTTGTGGACCTGTCCCTCTCCCAGCTTGGCACGCTGCTTACAGCGGGTCCCTGGTGATTCAGAAGGCAGGCAGGAAACACACATGGTGCACCCCGCCATCCACTCCATATGAGTGGGAGTGGAAGAAGAGAGCTCTCTGATTTCAGCTGCCCTTGGTTAGTGCACCAGAGTGTGTTATTTTATTATCCCTCTTAGTATGTAGAGGACTGCTGTCCAGAAAATTACCCTGGCCCTTTTTAAAGCCATTTGCAATTTCCTGGGTTTTTTCATCACCACCTAGGAAGATTGCAGTAAGTGCCATTCGTGAACAAGGAGCAAGGAACTGTTCCTCCCATGTCTCTCCTCGGGGAAGCCTTCGCATTGCTTCAGGTCCTCTCTGCAAACCAGAGAGTAAGCCCAGCAAACGCCTCCTACAAGAGGTGCTCCAGAGCACGACCACAGGGACAGCATAGCTAGAAGGTTTTAAAATAAGGTATTGCTTCTGAGACCGTTTCCGTATCATTAACATAGGAAATTCTGAAAGATTGAGTTCTGTGTTCTGTTAAATGCAAACACACGTGAGCCACGCAGCCGTAGCTGTTAACATCGTGGTAACGATGCAGTCAGCGCCGGCACACGCGGAGCACGGCCGCGGCTGCACAAGTAATTCTGGTGCCCTGAAGACAAGGAGCCCACATACCTATAATTGCTGGTAAATCGAGCCCTTGTTGATAAAGTAGAAGCATGTCATTGTGCCCTGCCAGTTTATAATGTTGTCTTTCATGAGGTGAATATTCAGCAGAATGACGGTCTCTGTAAAGCAATATTCATGGTACAGAGCTCCTGAGAAGACTAATCCTACCACCCAGTGCAGGCTGGAACCCATGGAGGCTCCTTCATACTAAAGCAGTTTAAAATCCATGCAAAACCAGGCCCAAACCCAGAACCGTGATTTCTTAGGCTACTGAGTACTTACAGACCTAGCCCCAAGAATGCAGAAAACTTAAAAATTTACCTGCATTAGCCTTAAGCCATCTGTACCGACTAGCTCATTGACTGTGATTAAAAATTGCCATGAATGAAGATGACAGAATTGGGCCCCAGCCCCCACATACACGTGTTGCCTGTTTTTCTCGAGTACCCCAGTTATGCATTAGTATTACAATTCACAATCCTTAACTGTGCTGGCATTGAACTTCTGTTTATTATCAGCGCAACGGCAATTATCACCCAGCCTCAAATAAATAACTAGCTCAAGTATCAGGCCCTAGGTAACCAATGAAGAACTGCTAAGTAATAAACTTATAACGTGATTCAGCTTTCACAGAAATTCATATTAAGCCTCTACTCGGGTAACTTTGCCTAGGCACAGAATTCACAAGAACTCTCTCTGACGTTGTGCTCAGCTTCCATATCCCACCTCCCTCTTTAAACTGCTCCGTCAAACAACTCGATTTCCACCTGCCAACTGGACTTAGGAGAGATTCAGACTTTCAGTATCTAATCCACACTGTCGCGAGCACAACGCAGGCAGGCGTGCTTGACAGACAAAAGCTTTTTGGTTTTTCCAAACCTCTTTGTAGCATTTTTTTCTGCCACTACTTTTCACATCTGTTGGTTTTGAGTCTGGCAGTCCCTGACTCGCCGAATTTCCACATATATTCTGACTTGATGTGTCTTTAACCTCAAGTGGACTGTCAAGCCAGATGCCAGATGCCCCCTTACTTCCTCAGTGCAAACTATCAGTAAACCTTAGCATAACTTTACTTTGAGCCTTAAACTAACAGCATGTGAAAAGATTAATATGAATAAATTCAAAACTAATCAGATCCCTTCTTTAAATGTTGACACAGTATTATTTATATCCCATAAATACCTTCTTGACTAAAATTCATCCCAGGAGATTGGCATCTTGCCAGTTCTATTCATATTTACTGTATTTATACAGTACAGTTGGCCAAGGATAATATTTAAGACAAAATATGCCTTAGGGTATATACAATATCTCTTATAGTTTTCCTTTTAAATCTCCTCATTGCTAAAAATATTTAGTCTGAACTTTACAAAATGCCCCACAAAGACCTATCAGCGATCTGTAGTGATATATTGCTGACTATGAGTATAATTAGAGCATATTTGTAATACTTGGGTTGTAGTCAGTTACTGAACGCTAACAACTTGTGGTAAAAACTGAACCACTGATCTTTCCCATGCCTTCCTTCCAGCAGCTTTTGACCTCCAGCGCGTTCACACTGATCCCCTTCTCCCTCCTGCCTCCCTCCGATGCAGCAGAAACCGTAGAGTTAAAAAAATTCACTCTGAGACGTCCAGGAGAAAGCGCCCGCAGCCGCCAGAGCTGCACTTTCAATTTCTTCCTTTAAAATATGGTGGAGCGATTTCTTCCTTTCTGTCTTTTTTGGAAAGGTTCGCTCCATCCAGCATAACTAGAGAGCAGTGGAAAAACAGTTAACCTACTTACTCTGATGTTAGCGACAGCCCTTGCACAGTAGTACTGGATCTGCTGCTAACTGGCCCTCCGATCCCAAACGTCTGATGCACTCTGTTGGTAGATACCTGCAATCTCCTTTGCTCTTCCAAAACCTCTATCGATACTTCAGTACAAATCTGGCCTCTGACAACATTTTAAAAATAGCTCCTCTTTTGTCAACACCATCCAAGTTGCACACCACAGATATTTTAATTTTCTGGAAAGTATGCGCCTGCAGTTTGGACTACCGGTTCTTTGTAGTTTGCTCATGCGAGGAAAAAGGACAGATGTGCTCAGGACGGATGCATTTTACAATTCTCAGAGACTCTCTGTTACGGGGTCAACTCCACAAGCCAAGGCACTGCTATCTGTCTTCCTAACCTTTGCCCATAGGTGCTCATTCCTCTGCTCAGGGCAGGATCTGAGAGGTCTCAAAACAAAGTGCTGACGAACACCAAAACCACCGGCAAAATACTACAGTATACCAACGTGGAAAACGGGCACGATTTCTGTGTTCTCGCTATGGCTATGAATTATACTGAACCTCTCTGCTCATACCCACTTGGCTCCAAATATACATTAGGAAAAAAAAAAAAAAGTATTTCTTCCCCGAGGGTAACAAGGGTGGAGTGTATTTATCATGGCTATTATGGATGGTGCCATTATTACAACAATAAAATGGCTCTGACTGCCAGGATGTCCTGTACCTGATGCTGTCATTTAAGAAGAAAGGAAGAAAGGGAGGCAGCTGCACCGAGCGTGGGGTTCGGATACCTTGGCTGGCATCCTAGGACTATCGCACGCAAGACGGAGCAAGCCCCAAAGCTACAACTTGCTAAACTAAAAATAAATAAGGGGAAAATGCAATTAGAAACTCTAGGATAAAGTTACCAAGATGGCTGCATTATCTATTTAAGCAAGAGGTATGTGCTTTTCAAAAACAGACAGCAAGTATATAGGGCATCAAGTGGTGGGGGAGGGAAGAGAGAGAAAAGCGAGCTAAATGAAAAGAGTAGGGACTAGGGTTTGGATATGTGAACAGTGAAGTTATTTTCTGCTTCTGGTATTTCACTTTCCTCAGTATAATGATGATCTAGATTCTTTTAAGGGAGTGCGGTGCTTTTTTTTTTTTTCCTATACACTTAAACCTCCCTACCAAAACAAAAAGGCACATCGTTATGATTATTAATCATTCTAAGTGGATTTCGTCAGCACGGAGCATTTGTACCGCTTTTTTTTTTTTTTTTTTTTTTGTGCAAAACGTGGCGTGGATCACCAGAAGGTCGTTAAAAACAGCAAAAGGCAGACGGGCTGAGGCAGGTTCCAAGAACCGAGGCTACCCAGAAGGGAAAACTTTTTCTGTACCTGAAATGAAAGCGCCCACGAACTGAAACGGGAGGCTAGTTAAAGTGGGAAGAGGAGGGAGGATGTCTGTGTGTCCGTCCTCTCTGAGCACCAATCTGAATAGCGGTCTGCGGGGCAATGTTCTGGAGGGGCGCAGATAGAAGAGGAGCCGGTGACTCTTTTTTTTTTTTTTTTAAAGACCTCCTTTTCAGTTATGGAGAGATGGAAACCTGCCCGATCCAGACACTCCAAAGGAAACAACAGCAGTGGAAAGATATTGGCTCTTTTTGGAGGCTGCACACGGGGCTGCGGGGGAGCTAAACCCAGTGCTGGGGAGGGAGCAGGATCCTGGGTGGGGGGGAGGGAGCCTTGCTCAGGTACGTGGTGGTGGATTTCGGAGGCACCTTGAGGGACTCCTGGGTGACTTCCAAGGGGATCGGAAACCTCTCACGGCTGGGGGGGACAGCTGACACCCCCCACCCCCCCACCCACCCCGGCATACGTGTGCCCCGCCACCTAAACGAAACCCTCGAAGCCACCACCTAAGAGATGCTGAGGGTAAGAGCGAACCGAGCAAAGGCGGCAGCTTATGATGCATGGGGCTGGTATTTGGAGGCGCCGGGCACTGCCAAGCCTCGGGGGCGAAATTACACGCACATGCACAAACACAGCGGACTTACTTTCGGGATAAAAAGGCTGCATGTCTATTTTGTAAACTTCTTTGGCATAATACTCCTCGTCGCTCCTCTCCCTTTCGCAAGTGGCGGCTCTGTGGTTGGCTTTCTCCTGCAGCAGGTCCCTGGTGCTGTTGTAGATGGAGATGACCTCCGGGGGCACCTCCTCGGGCTCGGGGTACTCGTCCGGGGGGCTGGTGAGCTTCAGTTTGCTCAAGATCTGCCCCCGGATCGCCTCGATCCTCTTGCGCATAAACTGATCCATGTCGAGGGTGCTGCAGGTAGACAGGCTGAAAGCCACGGTGGCCAGATCCACGGTGAGAAACACGCTCAGGAGATAGCAGTGCATTTTAAGTGTTTAAATACAGCGCCCCCCAAAAGAAGAGTGACTTTAACAACGAACAACAACAACGAAAAAAAAAAAAAATTAAAAAATAAAAAGGGGATGTGTGCAAACAAAGGGAAGATCTGCAGACAAAATGCAGTTAAAAACCGGACTGCAAGGACGACTCGCAATCGAAGAACGCGCGGGAGGCGTCAGTGAAAAAAAACACCAATAACCATTAAAAATAAACGAAGCGAGCTGCCACCACAACTAGGTGAAATTCGGGGGTGGAGTGAGCCGGCCAGCAAAAAGAGGGGAGGGAAAAAACCCCAAAGAGATAAAACAAACCTGCGAATCAAGTAAATGGAAGAGAGACTGTTCTCAGCGCGCTGGCGGAGCAGGCTGGAAACCAAAAATTGAAGGGAAATTGAAGGGGGGGAAAAGAAGGGAAAAAAAAAAAAAAAAAAAAAAAAAGGAGGGGGAGAACACGCAGCGATGGCTATTACAGGGCGCTGCCGCAGCCGGCGGGGGAGCGGGTGCCG